GTCCAAGGATCTGGTAGATCAATGTGAGGACCAATGTGAGGACTAAATGCATTCTTGAAACAGTTGAGGTGTTGCTCTGAAGCACACACAATCGAACAAAAAGAAAATGAACAACAATCCTGTGCAGTACCGTCATGGAGCCAAAGACTTCAAATGTCACAGAAGTTTAAGAGGAAAGAGACAAAATAGAAAGTAAGAAAGAAAATGAAATGACAGGAAAGAATCAGAAGCAGTGACAGGTTCGAAATAATGCTTCTAGAGTCATAGAGGTGCTACACTTCTGAGTGTGAAGAACACAGAGTGAGAAAGCCCTCTAAGTAAAGAAGATGATGACTGTTTATGTCCCTGTTCAGACCACAGCACAGTTATGCTGTAATTACAAGGTTAAACTGAGACACAGAAACAAAGTGATGCTGTTCAGTACTCAACAACATGCTTCTCATGTTGTTCGACTACAGCGCAGAAACACAGAGGGGGAAATAAGCGTATCGTGTGTATATCACTGAACAGTTTAGTATAACTACTAAATTTATATCAAACAAACAGCAAACATGCATTAAAGTATTCACAAGACTTTATCTGTGCTTCAATTACTGATGGACTCATTAAAATGACATTTGTTATAACTGTGAGGAGTGTAAAACACGAGCAGGCTCGCTCTATCTGGATATGAGAGAGAGTGCGTGGGAGAGGAGTGAGAAAATGAGAGTGGGAGGAAGAAAGAGGTGAAGTAGGAGGAAGAGAGGAGTGAAGGACAGTTCGCTGAAGTGGTCAAACTCTGCTGCTGAATACGCTGGTGGCAACGATGATTCACTCACGCTCAAAGAGAGTTACGAGGCTTCTCTCTGAATCAGCACATCGACTGGTCGCTGGGCTCCTCCGGGGTTTCCAGCCTGCTCGCAGGGTGCTGTAGTCAACGGCAGATGCATTACCTGAACCTGGACTGAACGTAGAGACAACCGTTATGTTGTTATTGCTCTACCACAGACTGCATAAAACATGGACACCAGTTGTATACGGTCTGACTGGGAAAACTGGACACTGAGGAGCAGCCACACCTTAAAGCACCCACTCAACTGTTCCACTTGATTTCTCCACAGTCTGACTTCGATTGAGGAGTCGCCCTCTGTTGACTGTTATAAAGAATGCAGGCCGTGGCACTTCACCCGGAAATATGTTCATTTTTTGTATACACTCTAAAAACATAGTGTATATAATGTCTGTATAACCGTAACCTGTTAACAAAACCCCACCACTCTAATAGAAATATTGTTTCTTCCTGGAACCAGCAGGTTTAACATGTTAGCATGTCACATGTAGGCATCTGTGTTCCACACTTTAATCTGATTCATCTTGGCTGAAGTTGATCTCGTAGTAACTATGATCTAAATTGGATTTCATAGATTAGACTCATCTTTGCACTAACAGATTGTTTAATTTGATTTCTCATTCTTATAATAATATACAATCATAATAAAATGATGTTCCCTTCATAGAGTATTTCAATAACTTTAAGGATACATAATAATAATAATAATAATAATAATAATAATAATAATAATAATGATGATAATAATAATAATAATAATAATAATGAAATATCAAGTAAAGCTACAAGAGTTTGTCAGCACCACCACTGTCAGCGGAGGATTGCTATTACCATGAGCAGCGGTTAACATCTGTTTGGTGGCTGATTGTGAGATCAAGACATCGATGACCACAAATATGACTTTAAGTTAGACACAAAATGAAAATGATGAGGTGGTGAAGGTGGGTTGCAAAGTGGTTTGTATAGTCAGGCTAAAGCAGTTTAAATGGCTAACCCATTTTTTCCAAGTTGGATTTGTAGAAACCTGGTGTGAGCTGGCACTGACCACATTTATTTAATCTTTTTATTGTATTTTCATTTGGATCATTGGTCAGACAAAACAAAATATTCAATAGATGCCAGGATTCAACTGGTGTTTTAAAAGTTAGCTTGAATGATTTATTCAACCAACAATTACAAAGTTATCTATGAAGGACTAAATGTTACGTAGTTTGTTTATTCAGTGTTCAGTCTGTGATTCTTACAGCGGGTCGAGTGTGTGATCAGGTTCAGGACACTCAGGCTTTGTATCAAACGCTCAGTTTAACAGTTTAATCGTTTTTGTAAAACTGTCAGAGGTGCTGATTAAGTTGGAGTTTGTGTTATTGTTTAGTTTGTGTTGGCGTGTTGTTCCTCCGCAGTGTTTAAGTCTAAAAAATGTTGTTAAAGCTTTCAGAAATGTTCTTAGACATCTTAAAATCATGTTTGCCTAGTGGCCTTCGTGTCCGTGATTCAGTTCTCTGTGTGCTGAGTGTCGTTTTTCATGCCGTGTTTCGGTTTCTTCCACCCACTGCGCTTCACCGTTACAAAAGCAGCTCCACCACTGAGCCTTCGAGCTGAGCAGCAGCTATCAGCACGAGACAGCTGTGACAGTTTGCTGACAGTCAACAGTTTTGATGGAGTTTCTTTTAGGTGGCACGAGGTCACTCAGTGAAGTTCAAACAAGCCACAAACTAGAACCTTTGATCCATTTTTCTGGAAACAGTACCATAGTAATCAAACAAAACTTGAACTGGAAAGTGGTTGATATATTAGATAATTAGTTGCCAAAAAGTTATCTTCTTATATCAGAGCATTTCCTCTCTTAAATATGGATGCACAGTTTCATCAGTGCTCCAAAACATGGAGGGGGAGGGGCATATTTTAACCGAAAACCATGATAGGACAAAGCCACAAACACAATCAACAACAAAAATATGCATATGATGGAAGCTGTAGGGAAAAACTTATCAGACCAGGTTATTTATACACATAGGTACACGCGGATTGAAAAATGAGTCACAGGTTTTAGCAGTAAAAGTGGAGCTGATAATGTGGAAAGGAAGCAAAGGCAGGAAGTACAAATACAATGAGGCATAGAGAGAGAACTAGAAATACAAATGAGAACAAAAAACTAACATTTCAGGGTCCATGACGAAAAAGATTTTAGTGCCTACACCAGCAAACTAAGCGAATCAGCAAGAACTTAAAGGACGAAACAGGACATGAACCAGGACATTGTAAAGATTCTGACACCATCTCCCCTCCAGCCTCTTAAATTGAACTGTACATGTCACTAAAAGTAGAACAACACAGACACCAAAGAGCGCCAATGTTATAGAAGTGAGGGCAACAACTTGTCCAACTAGGTTTTGGGGACCCGGAGCCTATCCCAGCTGACTCTGGGCACCAGTCTCTCCCATTTTGTTGCTTTTGGATTTGTTAGTTTTCCTTCTCAGACTGTTATACCAGTGTTTGTGACTTTAGCATCTACCGTTTTTCTTCCTGGGACATTGAAACACTTTGAATCCAGAAGCAACAAACATTCAGTGTTTCATAGAAAAATAACATCCTGTTTTTAGAAGTGCATTCATCATGAAAGATGCAAAATGAGGAATACAGTAGCAAAGAAAATGTTAAAAATCAAGTCAAGCCAAAACATGAATTGCTTCAAATAAGAGGAACGATGATCGATGACCTTTACAGAGAAACTTACTGGTTGAAAATGTCCAAGGATTTGTTTGAGGAAAAAGCTGTTACACGAAACTTTTGATATCAAGTGTAGGAGGGTGAAATCTCTGTTTTGTGGGGGGTTTGGTGAGTTTTTCCAATAAAAATGACATATTCTGTCCATAGATGAGAGAAGGCTCGAGGTTTTGAGGGCGATTTGAGATTGTAAAGCACTACATTTATGCTCACTGGTCCTTCCTTTGCAAAACTATCCTTAAAAGCTCACAGAGGGTTTCTCTTTGTGGGCTAAACGCCAGTTATACTAAAAATATATCCTCAAAGGTTGTTGGAGGTGGTGTGTGGGAGTGTTTTCCACCTCCGTCTCCCATCCACTCTCCTCATACGGTAGTTACTGAAATCCATTGTCCTACACGCCGTGGGTTCCTGCAGACAAAAGCTAAAATTCAAACTCTGTTCTTAGATGCAGAGAAATGAATGCACCAAAGGCTCTTAGTAAGAGATGGAAAGGTCAAGTGAGATAACTAGAGTAATAGCACAGTGCTGCTTTTTAATTTTACGTCCTCTTAATGGGTCATTGTTTCTGCTAATGTCACCGTCCTGGTGGGTCATTAACTCATTGAGGTGACTCACAGGACACAAAGGGCTCTGACATTTTTCAGCCCATTGCCTTTATTATTAAAGTGGGCTCAACATTTGTATTAAAATGTTCTTCGCAGTGAGAGAAACAAAGATGTGAGTGGTTACAGCTATAGGTGATAAACAAACAGCTTCGAGCACATTCAGTAGAAATGTATCATTAACAGGTGCAAATGTGTCCGTGGTGAGTTTACAGCATTTCTGCTGCTTCTAAGCACTCAAATATTTATTATTGTGAATTTTCTGTATTAGCATCATGACTGTTTGTTGAGGCAACAAACCTTTAACAAGACCTTTAAATGCCATGTAGTTCTGGCTTTTGTCAGAGTACTTCAGATATTACAGTCAATCTCAAAACTTTTAAGGATTTCTAAAACGTGCATGCGTCACTTATCCGATTCTTTCCTTTTTCAGACATTCTGTTGTAGATTTCCTTCTGTGCTTAGGATCATTGTCCTGTTGCATGACTCAGTTTCAGCTTCATCTGTCAGACAGACAGCCTCACGCTAGACTCTAGAAAACTTTGTTATACAGAGGAGTTCTCGGTCAACCCAGTGACTGCACGGTGCTCAAATCCTCACCCCACCATCACCTCGCGGACAGCTGGTGTTTGCTGATATTGTGTGTTTGGTCTCTTTTGTCCAAATGAGATTGTTCCAGAAGTGTTCTGTTTTGTTCACATGCAACTTTGCAAACCTACGATGTGCTTCAGTATCCTTTTTAGAGAGAAGAGGCGTTCTCCTGGGAACCATTTCAAACAAAGCATAGTTGTACTGTCATGAACTTTCACCTTTCATGCATGACCACGCTCTCTGTCTCATTTCAGACATTACCCCAAGACGTCATTCACCATCGTGGCCGACACTCCAGAGAACCTGAGACTGAGACAGCAGAGCGAGCTGCAAAGCCAGGTAAACACACACACACACACACACACACACACACACACACACACACACACACACACACA